AGACCAAGTAGACCCTTTATGATATGCTCTTATACAATCTAAGTTTAATTTTATATCTGGAAGTTGAGGCCATTGTGAGGCAACTTCATTCCAATGCCTTATATTATCATCAAATTTCTCTTGTAGTTGTTCAAGTCTCATTGTTCTCTGATTAATATTATATCGAACCCAGGTAGGCAGCATTAAGTAATCCATAATGGATTTGGGATATTCCTTGTACAGAAAGTCAGTTATAAGTTGAATCTTATCAAATTCAGAGGGTGGAGCATAATTGATGTCAAAACATAAGATAAATGAAAATATCTCATCTTCGTCAAGAGAATTTAAATGACGAATTCGGTGTCTTACAGTTGCAAGGAAAAAAGAGGAAAGTTCCAAGAAGGAAGTTGGTGCAGAGTCATATGAGCGTCGAAAGGGATGTAAGGAGTTGAGAGCCATTTTGATTGACTTGAGGTTATAAGATGGACTAGGATTGAACCGGGTGTTACGCAACAAAACTAAATCATCAGTACCTTCAGCAACCAGTGGACAAGGCGGCAGCATCAATCTGTGTAAGCATGTACTACCTAGAGCTTGGTTAAAGTACTGATGAATATCTACAGCGGAAGTGTAGGTGTGAGGAAGTCCTTTCTTGAATCGAAGAAATAGCTCATAGACCTGATTTACAAGATACTGTTTGGGAATAGTTTTAGGCAATACCATATGGCGTGACAACACTTTCACAAGTTCCGGTACAGTGCAACGGCCGAGTGCGGCTGTGTGATGGTCTCGTGGAAAATTGAGCCATATAATGTCAGGATCCATGTGGAAGGTAACAACGTGCACGGAGGATATAGCGGACGCGCGGGGTAAGCAAAACGGCTAGTGGGAGTGGCAAGGCACGGGGTTGGCTTCAAAGCAGTGGACACTGGTATATATTTGTGGCAGCGGACGCTGGATTGGGGGACAGCGGGTGCTGTATATATACAAGATAGCGGGTGCTATAAGCAGCGGGCGCTGGTTGAGAGGATGCGGGTTCAGACGAAACGCAGCCTGACATCCACTCTGCAACGACTCCCTACTTAAGATAAAACTGCGGCGCCAAGCCGCCGATGACACCGTCGCCATTAGGTCATCGTTAAATCGGGATCAAAATCTCTCATGGATTTGGCGGGCAAATTCACAAGATCATTCGCTTAAACCCTCTCTGTTCCAGAGTCGGGGATTGAGGAACACCTGTCAACGTCAACGTCAGCTGTCAACGTCAACGCTGCCGGTCCGAGGCCACCTATGATATAGGAGTTGGCTCAACCCACGAAGACTGTGACTATGCTCGGACGCGTCTTGCCTAACATGGAAGGCACGGTAGTCATGTTTGTGTCTGATGCCGTCCATAAAAGGTGAGTCCTAAAAGGGACTGTCCTAAAAAGGACAGTCCGCTTTGGGACTGATGGCAAGAAGTTGATGGAGTGATATCCTAGATCTGTCCGTTTTGGGGCGGAATTTGTCAGTTGACAGCTTGTGAATCAATTTTTGCTTTGCCCTGATATCTTAGCTATTATGCTCTGGGAAGTGGAGAGAAAAATCACAAAAAATTCATGGAGATTACTGAACTGCTTCTCATTAATTCCTTGTGGATGCTCAGTGGGCATCTTCCTTATGAACCAAAGATAATGCAAACAACAGTGAATATTAGTCAAATAACTTAACTCTACACTGCATAAAAAATTCAGAATGTCAACTATCCACCTGTTTTCAACAACTGAACTGTAATACAGCCAAGTTGATGCAAGAATAGCAATACTGTGCATGATTGCTGCACTACTGCTCAAATTATTATGGTACTGGAGATATACTACTGCTAAAAAAACTTGTATGGCATCAACCAGAAGAGGGAAGTTCAATCTCATGTATATTACAGGATAAATGATATTTGTTGTGTCAGTTGAGACAAACAATGGAAACAGACTCAAAAGTGAGACATGCATTTTGCAATACCAGCTATAGAAATACTTCAAGCTCAGCCTTTGTAGTCACTCCATGTCTTCCCAACTGTCTTCATATGGACTTGAATGGTCAAAAATGCATAATTAGAAGTCAATTTGGTTATGAAACAAGAAATGCAGCAAATATTGATAAATACTGCCCTTCTGGGAATTGTTGCACAGTATCGGACTGGATAGGAAGTGAAAGTACAGTATCTAGTACTGCTACTCTAAGATCTAATCATGGTTCATGGGCTCCAATACCCAGATCTCATCTTTCACTGAGGCCTGATCAAGAGTCTCAGGCCTGTCAATCATGTCTTTTTGAATTATTTACAGCGCTCTTTGCATGACTCTATAGGTCTAGATAACCTACTATAAAATCCTCCTTTTCCTTCCCCTCCTCTTTCCTTTTTTGGCCGATTTTTTCCTATTTTTTTATTCCCAGACACAAACACCAATACCGTGCCACATGGAACGTCACCCTCTCATGATGGAGCGACCCATGTCTGGAACATTGTTGCCATATATGGCATATTGTTTGATGCTCTTGATGCTGGCTTCAGTGCTATCCAACACAATAATAAAAACAACAAATAATATATCAACAACAATAAATATATTCGATGTGACAGTGGCTGTGACTGTTACCATATTAGGAGGAGGTTGTTTTGGTTTGGGGTTTAGTTGCATATTGGGTTGGCAGGCCTACCCGGGGAAATGAAGCTTCATATCTCTGACAGTTGTCAGAGCTGTCATGAAGCTTCGTTATTGGTAGCTTACCAGAGGTCCCCCAACAGCATATCAAACGTACCTTTTCCCTCACCCAAACCCTAACCAAACCCTAACCAAACCCTAACCAACCCTACCCAAACACTAACCAATCTAACCTAACCCTAACCGAACCCAAACCAAGTAAAAAAACAGTATATTTTGAGTCTAAGTTGACTGACAGTTCTTGACAGTTCTCTGATCAATGAAGCTTCGCCCTGGGCATCAGCGATCACCAGCCGCGAAGCTTCATGACATCTTGGGAGATTGTCAGTGGTGATGCATCACTTCCCCGGCCTCTGGTGGGGTTGGTGGTTAGAGAGGGCAGGTCCTTCCTCTTATGATATGGTGAGCAGGTCTTATCTACCCACACCCACACCCACATCTACATCTACACCTATACCCACACTCACATCTACATCCACATTACCTACATCACCACCACCATCCATCTATCTATGGTTTCCACTCAGCTTTGCCATCATCACTTCCTCCTTATGGATGGCAGCATGCATATACTCTCTGCCCACCCTCTCAGGCTTGCGTGGGCAGCGTGGCTACACCGAGATAATCGAGGAACCCGAGTCAACCGTGACCATGCCATACTTGTCGACCTTGCTGCTACTAGGAGAAAACAGTCCTTGTGTCCTGCCACACCTGACGCTACCCGCCCTAAAGACTCTTCATCTATCGTACTTCATCTTCGAAGAGGTCTTTTCGTATATCCACCCATGTATTGCCCGTTCCAACGCCAGCATCCTATCTCTGTTCATTGTATCGACCTGGGGCTACAGAGACATTCGAGACCTCGTGTTCTCTCCCGAGTTCCCAGTACTCAACTCAATTCAAGAGTTGACTCTCCGTCTATTTCACATGGACACCGACCGGGAAATCAGCAAACTTCTTGCAGCCGACTTTGCCCAACTTACATTCCTACCTAATCTCGAGTCGTTGACACTTGTGGTACCCCAGCCAATGGAAGGGACATCAACTTCAATGAAGGCATCTTCTCTGACGATTGAGATCAGCCCATTCGTGGACGGCCTCGCCATGCGTGTCGCCAACGCGCTGTCTGCTGGAGTGCGGCACACAATGAAGCTGAGGCGATTCGTTGTTGACTGTGCATCATCGGCGATTTCCGACAAGGACCTAGACGACTTGAAGCACCTGCAGGACAAATTGCAAGTCCCAGTCTTGATGTCAAACGGACATCCTTTGAGGAACAGATGGCCCGGGGAATGTAGGGAGCTCCAGGACAAGCGTATCGATTGATGATTTGCTATGATTTGGACTATTTTCGATCGTTGTACAACGCGTAGATCTAGTTGGTAGTGAAATGTCGTTCTCCGAAAAATAGGGCGAGATACTAGTGTTGCTGAGTGGTCGCCTACCAGAGACAAACAGAACCACGCACCGAAGTTTCGGAAGTCCCGCAGTTGCATTAGCCTACTAGTAGCCCAGCATCTTCATCCTCTTAGCTTCGCTGTTCTCCCCCATAAGCTCCATGGCACATCCGTCCAGCATAGCCTTGTCCAAGATGAGCTTGTCATACCGCTTGCATGGCCGTAGCGATACTCGTTTTCAGGTGTCCGTAGCTTATGCTGTAACCTGTTCGACAAGGTCCTATGTGGTCTGCGATAGTTAGATTGAGTCAGAGGTGGGGAGAGTTGGGGGAGCGTGGGCTTACCTGGGGTGTAGCCCTTCAACCCGTTACTTCACTCCGGTTTGTCGCTGTATCCAAGGCTATACTAGTAGCTAGTCAGCAGTAAGCTTCGTTGCGGGCAGCGGTGGAGGTATTCAAGCGAAAGCGACCGCGAGTTTCTGCAGATGCATATTCGCATTTCGATGGGCTTCCGCCGCAAACGAAAAGGGCAGCGGTATCCTGAAAGCATAAGTGCGGGGAAAAGAGAGGGTTGGTAAACGGACCTTCCGAAGCTTCAGTCAGCACGATGGCCTATCCTAGTCAGCTGCAGCTTCCCCCGTCGTAGCAGCACGTTGAGGCAGCTCTATAAGCTACACGACAGTTCGGTATAATCCCACTGGCAGACCAAGCACGCACCTAGCCAGCCCAAGTAGACTTTATGCCTCTATTTGAAGTACTTCTGATATTCGATGTCTTCGTTGGCCAGAGTAGCTGTCGAAAGCCTCCAGTTTTGAGGAGCAACAGCAGTTTGAAAACAGTCTATCCCAGCAGCATATAAGTTCGGGATGTTGGGTCGTTTGGCGAAACCAAAGCAGGATGGCTGTGACATCACAGCTATGGCGTTCTTTCCTCTGCTCTCTCATGTTGTCGACCAAGCCGGCATCTCTCCAGCTCAAACCGCGCCCGCGATGGGGTTGAAGACCATTATGCGGCTGCAAGATCGCATGGAGAGAAGGGCTAAAGACGGAAGGGGATGGGGAGAAATGGGTATTGGCGAATTACTTGAGGCGATTGGTGCGTTGTGCTCGCTCTGTCTGGCGCTCAGCATTCTTATTGACCACTCAAGCTCGCTTTCGTTGTACTCTCGCTCCCCGAATAAGTGCGCGCAGCAACTTTGGCGCTACGAATATCAAAAGTGCAATGTCTCACAAGACCCTTGGCCGCATACACACCATTTTCAGGCGAATCAACTCTACCTCCCGCAAAACGAGCCTATTGTCATACTCCAACAACTTTTCTCCCTCGACCTCGCGCTCCAACACGTTCTGCGATAACATTCCTCCATTTTAGCACTCACAGCTATTCGCGACCGAGAAGGCCTCCTTCCCTTACTGTCATCCAAAATGACCCGGCTCTCTGCGCAAACAACACACCTGTGGCTTAGCAAACGGCTGTCGGAACCCGGAGATGGCATCGACCACGATCATGCACACGAAAATCGTCGACAACATCGCTGGTAGTGGTTTATGCTGCTTTCGAACGGCGGGGGAGTTGTTGGTGGATGTCCTAGTCGTGTTCGTGGAGTATTGTTAAGCATTCTGGTGTGTATCGCCTCGCTTTTACCTTCTAACCGCTGACGAACAATGTGCAGGCTCCTTCCTTTCATCTTAGTATCAATATACACATTCTAGAACGATCTGGAGGCCAAGGGCAATAACAAGCGGCATAAAGAAGAGCACATCGGCGAGAGTGAAGGAGGTAGATAAGGCCGGGTAAACTGGCAACGGTGCTCAGGATGCCCAAGCAAACTGTTGATCAAAGGATTGCTCTTTCTGCGGGTAGACCACAACTATGCATTCACTTCTTTTACCGAAAAACAAATCAGAGTGACAGTAAATATTGGCGTCAGGCTCCAATCGAAATCGTCTGCTCGTTGCTGGTTACCATCCGAGGAATTGAGTCTTACAATAACATGCGCAGTTCATGGAGAACAAGCCACAGAAACGCACACATTAGATATTCTATTCTTAACTCGACTCGTGGGATAGCCCAGGCACTTTCACACACGACCCTCTTCACCAACCTGAGCAAGTTTCCGGCAGATGGCTTCCATTCAAGTTCGAGTGCGAGTCCAACAAAGCAGTGAGAAACACACCCTGCCACTGTCCTCCGTCTCTCTAACAATTGCAGGCCTGGATCGGGCAGCGATCCGGACGGGTATGGACAATTTTATCGGGCTGTTCCACGAACTCGTGCCTCGCAACGACCCACGCTGGCAAGAGCTACGCAGGTATGTGCCCACATCGCTTGGCCTTGCCCCTCCACCGCTGATCGCTAACCAGGCAAGATCTCTTCAACATCGACACCGTCACTGGCATCAGACTGGGCACAGCTGATTGCCACGCGAACGGCTGGATTGTTAATGCAGAAGGCATTGTGCAAGCTCTTAGGACCCGCTCACGAAATATCCGACTCATCGGTGTCGAAGACTCAGACATTGAGAGTGTGGGCTCTGATTCGGGAGATGGCGCCGACAACGAGCCTCAGCCTCCGAGCGAGACCGAGAGCGGGAAAAGCCGCTAACGAGGGAGAGGCCGACAGCGAGGGAAATAACAACGATAGCAACTTGAAGGATGCTGACTCGGAGATGAACATTTGCAAGGCTTGAATAAACTGTTTCTTTCTGCTCTTATTCGCATGTCATTCGAAATCTGTTTCATTGTGAAGTAAAGACTGCGTCTTACAGAGTATTCATCGATCTCTGCGATATATGTACACTTGTAATCCTGCAGAATATGAGTGACACACTTGGGGTGAGCCGTAAAACTAACGTATTCTGTTGTCGAAAAAAGGAAGGGGGGTCAGCTTATGCTGAAGAGCTTCCTCAGGAAAGCGAGGACACTATGATTTTCGATGTTAGCGAGCTTGAAGAGATAGCAGCACAGTATCAGACGCACGACAATGGACCCTTCTGAGAGAGGGTGAAATGTGAATGCTAAGGGAATGTTGTGGGCGTTAACCCGGGGTAATCGTGATCACGACTGAGAGAGATGGTCATTAATGCAAATGCCGAGCACGCTAAGAGAGAGAAAAAGCCGCTCACCAAGAATACCATTGGCATAGTCATCAGACGACACAGCAGATTGGTGTTACATATCCTTTCGACCTCGAATCCAGTTGAAAGACTTCTCGCCGGCCGACACATTGGAAACATGCTGCCACATTTCCCAAGACACTTGGCTAATGCCATTTCAGGCCCACAAACAACAATTTCCAGCCCCCAAACGAGGTCAGAGCAATGACGCGCGACCAATATCTTGCCAAAGACATTTGGAAGTGCAAGAGTATGTGCGTTGGCACAACGGGAGGCAGGTTATCGAAGCTGCGTCGCCGTCAAGACAGCCGTATACCTGATTCCAGCACAGGTGGAGATGTCGCTGAGAACGGTGTCGACGAAGGCCTTCCCGTCGATGAGAGTGTCCCAAAAGAATTGTTTGTCATCGGAGGCTTGTATGGCACCGCTAGATACAGTGTATAGAGCGATATGTGGTGTGGAAATGGAGGCGAAACGTCGTTTCTCGGATGTGATGTCACGTGATCTCCAGGAATGATAAACGTTCTAGCTGGCCGGGAGTCTTGCGATAGATAGTCTTGTCGATTCAGAGGGGAGCAAGCGTGAAAGTGTGGTAGGTATTCCGGCCTCGGAGGGTTGTTGGGGGAATAGATATACACCGCAAAGACCCTTGTCGGAAGAAACCACAATGAGCGGCTGGCGTTGGGTCAAATGCTTCGGCGACGATGAGATTCTTTGGGGCGTCTTTCTCGGATGCAACGCGGGGAGGTGGATGAGGGGATGGAAGGATATTAAGCCAACGAAGATGGGCTTTGCGAGCGCGACTCGGAGAACGGCCTTGCCGTTGGCGACATCGCGTTTAGCTGCTGAGAAGACCCGTTTCTAGCCTCCTACGCCTCTAAAAGGGTTAGCATGAAGTAAGTACTGTGTTCATTACCGGCCCCGGGACAACTTGAACACACATACCAGTGACTCCATTCTCTTAGTCCTTCATCGTTGGAGCCACGAAAGTAGGCCTCATACTGCCTGCTGCACAAACATTAGCGAAGGCCATAGATATAAGGCAAGAACACGCACTGGGGGCCTCGTTTCCAAACAACGCTTCACTGTTCCATCTCTTTGGTCGTTGTCCAATAGCTGGCTTCTGCGAGCGGCTCATCGTCCGAAACGAGGAACGACTTCAGAGATATCTGTCTGGGACGAGAAAACGTCAGCTAAAGCGAGGAAGGAGCGGCCTCGTTTGACAAATTTGACATACCAGGAAGCCCTCGTCATCCCTACGAATCATGCCAGTGGTGCACCCGTCCCACTCGGAGTCGACGGCTGTCGGTTGTCTGTCGACGCGTGGCATAAGCAGAAACGACTATGGGCCTGGACCAGAGCCAGCAGAACATCCGTCGTTCGCCTGGCAATTTGCGAATCGTTGGCGGGCTCGAAACTACACAGGCAAGCGCATCTTCGAGTGCTACGCCGGCCCGCGAGGTCGTTGTCTGTTGAGCGTTGAAGTTGAGCCATGTTTGGAGCAAGGAGGCTTCATGGAAGGGTGGTGAAAGCTGCAAATCATCTCGTGACTTTGACATCTTCTCCCCGAAGTCGACAACTCTGCTTGTAAGTAACCTCGTGCTGCCCAGCCCCTCACTCAAACAGGACTACAGAGGCGACAACGGGCTCACTTGCGCCTGCGGCAATATACTGACTCGGTGAGCGACTGCTGCCTACCTGGTCCTCGAGGCTCGAGATGCAGTTAGGGTCTGTCATGGACAGCCCAGGTCATGCCCGGGTCATGCCCACGGGCAATCTAGCAAAAAAATCCATGCCCACACCCGTCCGGGCTTGGCAAGGCGGGCAACGGGCAGTGCCTGCGGGTCACCCGTGGGCACGACGGGTGTCCACGGGCACCGAGATATTTTTGTAACAAAAAACGATTATCTATGTACTTGAACTACTAGTAATAAATCGACTTGTTCTTGTTCGCAGCAGCCTTCTGACGTCTCTCGCGAGCCTCAAGAATCTTCTCCGCTGAACCAGGGGGAAGAATGGTGCATCATCCCATCCTCGGCCCGTTGTCCAGAATTGCGTGTTGGTGTGGAGGGCGGAGTGGTCATGGGCCAAACCAAGTTTTTTTTTATTTCTGTGGGCACTTCATTCTATCCTCTATCTGAATCCTCTTCAAAATTAAAGTTGGATCAGACAATTTACGAGCCTGAGTACATTTTACTTAAAAGTTCATTGTACATGATGAGACATTGGGTGGGCCGCCCGTGGGCACCTCGATGTCGCAAGCTTCTAGCCCACACCCGTGTGGGCACTTTTGCGTGGGCGGCCCACTGCTCACTATACGTGCCCAGGCAGTGCCCACGGGTCAAATCCGCGGGTGACCCGGGCAACGACTGTACATGACAGACCCTAGATGCAGTCTATGCTTATCCCGTGGGTCTGTCCTGTCACTAATAATACAAGGCTCGCCACCGTGGCAGGTGTGCTCGCGAATCTTACCAAGACACTGCACGCCATCGAGAGAGGCGATATTGGTCCTGGACCGCCAGCGCGTGCCCACACAGCAGAAGAAGAATCCGACTGGGAGGAGGATTCAGAGTCCGAAGAGGAGGGCAAGGCCAGGTCTCGAGCTGAGCGCCAGCCCGAAGACAACAACCAGCACGTTCGAGCCAGTAATGAGAACGAGGGGAGTACTCAGACGATGTTTGTACAACAGCAACATACTTGCATGAATCTCAGTTGAACAGAAACCGATAAAGACAAGTGAATTGACGCATGAATCAAGTAATACCGTGCCAAGTACACTATAGCTAATCGCAGGAAATAGATGAGCTATTACCGAAGCAAAGGGAAAATGTGGTACAGTACCAGCGTGACAGTCTATGCGGCGAGGAAGATGAAGAGCGATCCGACCACTGGCAAATACTCCCACCCCGCCTGTGCTATCATTCGGGTCGTCATGTCCTCTAAGGGTGTCCAATATCAACAACGCCATACGATTAACCAGGCAGTACACTGTCAAGACGAGCGAAAATGAACGGAGCGGAGAGTGTTTGTTGGGCAACTTTGTGCGAGAACTTGCCCAAGAAGAACACACGATGTGCTCTCAGCGCGGCGGTGAAGAGCCCGTGATGCAATGAGCGTGTCGACAACAGAGCAGGGAACTATTGACCAATGGCTGCTGTGGCAAAGGAAAAACCCCGTATACGCCTGGCAAAGGGGAAGGTTTTCGATTGGAGTGGGGATTGAAGTGGTATCTCGATGGGCTGTTAAGTCGGTGCCGAGCGCGGGAGAAAAAACACGAGGAGTTCGAGCAGCACATATGCAGGAGGGAATCTGAGCAGGGCTACGAGGGAGACCGTGCCGTGTCGAGATAGACAGACGGCGAGAATCTTCCGAGGTCGACACCCTCCGAGCCACATACCAGAGAACTCCTTGAAACACGTCTTGAGAAGTAACATTAGATTCCTCTTCCGCTCTTCAAGTTGTTGGTCGGATGACAGCAAATTAGAAGTGGTAGTCCTGAAGAGGCTTCACTCGTTGTACTCCGAGGCTGGCTGGATGACGCACCGAGAAAGACTCTATTTGCTTTTCCTTCATCGAAGCCTTGTACGAATCAGAAATCGAGACGACAGACTAGACATATCAGCTCCTCGTCACGACAGAGCACACACAACTACTTGCCTGCAGAAAGCGGACCGATAGTGGCTGGAGCCTGGGATCGCCCGTCGGAGCAACGTTTGCCGTTGTGCCTTTCTTCACCGGATTGCGAACGCGTGCGGCTGGGCTGAACCGTGTGCAGTGCGGGCACTAGACGGGTAAAGGAGGATGGTCGGGCGACTCCGCGGGGCGTTCGAAGGAGATGGAAGGGTGTGGTAAGGCGAAAAAGACGAGAGTGGGAGCTTTAATACTCTGGTGGTACTTCTGTGAAAATGTTAGTCAATATCCACAGAGGCTGGTCAATTTGCGCACGAAGAAAAACCATATGCATATTCCTAGCTGTTATGCGCTTGTCCAGCGTGTAACGAGTCGGTGCGGTATGACTGAGCCGGTTCCGGGTGGGCGTAGAGGGACATGGTAAGTAGAGAAGAGGCGAAAGTCGGAGATGATGATGGTGGTTGACTGCAAACCACATCTTGCTCCAAACGCGGATGTCACGACCCATTATACCTGCGGAACTCATCGAACTCATACTCGAAAACGTCTCGGGCGAGCGGAGCGCTCTCATCTCGTGCTCCCTCGTCAACGGGAACTTCTATCTGGCCGCGCAACGCCATATTTTCCGCTCTATGTGGCTAAAACAAAGAAAATACAAACCCGACCTGTCCAATGCGGTTGCGAAAGAGGCATTCAAGTCGACATTGCTTCCCATAGCTAACATCTCCACTATGGCTGAAATCGTGGCCGTTTCGCCCCACCTAGGGCGACATATTCGCGAACTCACTGTCGACCTTCCTGTTAGGGAAGATGAGGATGGCGAGCTTACTCGCATTATGGGCACCGTTTCTGGCGTCGAACGCGTCTCCATTGCGGGGGTCTCACTCGACTGGGACTCAATGTCGATGAACCAAGAGTCGGGAAGAAGGCGGCAAAGGAGGAGGAGGAGGAGGAGGAAGAATGGTATTGGCGAGTTGCTTGAGGCGATTGGTGCGTTGTCCCACCTCTTTTTCTGGCACTCAGTATTCTTATTACTCACTCAACCTCGCTTTCGTCGTACTCTCGCTCTCCGGATGAGCCCGCGCAACAACTTTAGCGCGACGAATATCAAGAGTGCTATGTCTCGCAAGACGCCTGGCCACATACACACCATTTCCAGGCGAATCGCCCGCGGCTGACGCGCTGACGGAGCATTCTCCCAGATCTCCCCCCGGCGCCAGGTCATCCTACACCTTCGCTGCCGCCCTACTCCAGCCCCGCTCAGGGCCTCAGGCTATCATTCTGACTTCGGTCGTCAGCGAAGGCACCCATCTGAAGACATCGGCCCCAAACTCCCCACCCCTCTTGTCTTTCTTCCACCAACGACGACAACGCCGACCCGCTGGGCTTCATGGCCCGTTCGCCGCTTCTCCCAGCTCCACCTACCCGTTCCCCCAGCTTTTGTCGTCTGCGAAAGCAGCCACTTGACGACATCGACTCCTCGCCCTTCCTGCCGCCTCTTATCCTTTTCCACATGCGACAGCGCAGCACACAGAGCCGCTAAACCGCGTCTATGTCGTTTGCCGCCACATACATTCCTCATACCCGTTTTCGTCAGCATGTCACGGTGGCGCCATATCGGTGCCATCGCTCCCTTCGCACTTTAAATTTACGGGCCTAGCCGTCGCTCCATTGTCGCTCACTTCTCAACGCGCAACGTCAACGCAAAGGCTTGGGCTGAGTGGAAGACAAAACCCACTCGGCATATATTCGAAGGACGACACGAATGATGAGGGCCGCCAAGGGTCCTATAGCCACGACCACCCCCCTTCGCGCGCAACGGTGGCCCCTTGAATGACTACGCTTCCTCGAAAGCCCGCTTTCGCGGCCCATCCTCCCTCATCTCCCGACTCCCGTTTTCCCATCCCCACCACCGACCCCAAAGCTCCCCTCCACCACCCAAAACCACCCATTCCGCCTCTCAACCCCTTCGTTCTTCACTCCACCTCCCACCTCCCCCTTTTGCCCCCTCTGCCCGCGCCATCCCCACCACCCTTCCCAAAACGGCAAAGTCACGTGCCGCCTCCCGCCTCCGCCGAAAACGCCCTCGATCATCTCTTCTCCACCACGACGATGGCGGACACCTTCCTTTTCGCTCGCCAGACACACTCGGGAGGCTATCCATCGCCTATCCGCGTGCTCAACAAAAGGTACCCGACCTAAACAATGCATGTTCTTATGTGCTGATCTGTTTTGTAGTGCCACAGTGCTTGCCTGACGGCGGTGAATGCTGCCGTCGTGCTCTTTCTCTCACCATACGACGGTCGACTACGTTGCTTCCAAACGCCTGACGCCTCGCAGGCGCACGGTGTTCGAAGCCAGCCGCGTCCTTGCGCCTAACTTCTGAGGCCAGAGAGGGGAAGGCAAAACGGGACTGGTGTTCTGTGGGACATACTCGAGGGGGAGTAGCCCAAAGCCTCGCGTCTAGAGCTGACGCGGTCGAGAATATTAGGGAAGCAAAGCATTTTTGGGGAGGAGCGGTCCCAAACGACGCTGGTATTCAAGGCGCGTGGAACTTGGCCCTTGTTCTCGATATGGTCCCTAACATCCTGCCCCGCAGGCTCTCTTTTCAAGTTGAAGCGCTCGGTCTCCTCAATCTCTTGCCACCTCCTCGGTATAAACCATGTCTGCAAAGGCCGTTGCTTAGTGCAGGATTCCGATATCTCTTCCAAACGACACAACTGGACGCCGGCGGGGACAATTTCCCTACTGTTTCAAGGGCGCTGCGGCATAGTAAACTGGTCATGACGGACTCGGATGGCTCAAGCTCGTATCGCCAGTCGCCGCCCAGCTTCAGCCGCTAATGAAGCTTTCTTGTACCATCTACATGCGTTACTTGCCACTTAACTCCTGCCTCGAGGCTCCGTCTTGAGTGATGACAAGCGCGGACTGTATTCATTCACACATGGCCGTATTGAGAAAGTAAGCATGGACTTCTTGTCCTTCTTCATTATGAAGTGCATTCTATTTCAAAGCCTGCGCCAAAGACCATTGCAATGAAACAAATTTCAAAAGAGCGCGTATATCTAGGTCTGCTCAGATAGCTCCTCTACCGGAGGCGCACGCTCGCCCAGTTGAATCTAACATTATTCTCATTAGTCCACCTTGCAACACCAGCAGCAAAAACACGCACCCAGCCGGTGCGGTCACGCAGCCCGAGTTCTTCTTGCTGCTCGCCTGCGCGCCGTTCGCGCAGTTGTCGTGCTTTCCGCCCGACTCGAAGAAGTCGATCCCCTTTGCGCCGTTGAAGGAGATGCTCCGCGCGGTGCGGCCCTTAGCGAGGAGCACGCACTGGCCCGCTTTGGCCGCGGGTTGTGTGGCGATGACGGCGCCGGTGCAGCCCGCGCCGGCATGCCATTTCAGGTTGGTCGCGTTGGCGCTGCCGGCGGCGCAGGCGAAGAGGGCGGTGAATTGCATGGAGGTGTTTCTATATGTGTGTCAATGCCTTAACCGTTCATAAAGGAAATAGCCACTAGCCTTGACGAGTGGAACTTGAAGTCGAGTTCAGAATATGTCGCTGCTGTAGGCTGCTGCAGGTATTTATGCTGCAAGCAACTTAAGCGAATGAGAATACTTACTGTATCGGGAGCGACTACCGTCGAACTGGCACGGTTTTCTTTGAATTAGCCAAGGGAAACAACCCCCGCCCGAATCAGCATCGGCGGACGGCGGTTGTTGACTCCGGATCCCTTCAGGCCGCGTCAGTGGCAAGCACTGCGCCGCCGCATCACACGCCGAGCGAGATCACGATTCGTTCCCGATGCAACGACCGTGTCAGCTAGTGAATATAATATGAGGATATTACAAACAATACACGGGAGACAATCACCAAGATACCCTACGGGGCTGTCCAGCGCTACCTCTTCCGCGACGATTCGAGGGGTTCCTGGAGTGATATTCCCTTTACGTCGTTCACGAACCGCCAGAGAAGCACCCGCAGTACATCGACAGCGAGACATGGCAACTAGAGCTAAAGCGCGGTCGTGCTCGATGGAGACATTGCCGGTTGGGGGGACAACAGCAGCGTCGGAAAGGGAGGAGTAGTTGGCAAAGAGACCTCGACGCGCGGAAAAAGTAGAGAGGGCAAGGACAATTTGGACGTTGGCAGCCGTATGTAGATGAACGCAAGTGCCTTGCGGGCAACGAGCAGATGGGAAATAAACAAGCGCCGTTGGATATTGTGTTATTGTTTGCGCGATGGTGGGAGCCGTTTTCTTGGCCGAAGGCGTCGAAGCAAGCTTGATCGCTGCGCAGCCAGACTGTAGTGCCAATAGCAAGGCAGAGCTTCACGAGCGTGGCGGGGCGGGGCCATGGATTATGATAGGGAGGTGTTGTATGTTGCTGTTGAGACGCAGAGGGCGTCAGGCTACCCAAACCAAGATGATTGAGTCTGAATAACACAGAAGGCGGTAAGCTTTACTCACCTCCATCCGTAGCTCGTCCAGGACAGCACACACTCTCCCAACTTCCAAGCTTCTAGTCTGGCGCGCGAAGATCGTGTGCGCGTCTCAAGGGGCTGTTGCCAGTGAGTGAGCTGGTGAGTAATGTACTGCTCCACGGCAAAGCGTTGGCGCACATCCATGCTCTCAGGCTGAAGATTTCTGCGACGGAACTGTTTGGCCAGTCAAGCTGGGGAATAAACATCAAAAGCACTGGTAGACGCACGTTGACCTTTCCGATATCCGCCTTCCCAGTGGCTTCTCAAGCCATCCTCACTAATTGGCGTCTCCGCTTGCAGTTTGCCGCGAATGACTGGTCTTGGAACTCTCGTTGTCAAAGACGGGAATGTCGGAGCGGTCTAGAAGGGGAACGCGGGTGGCGATCGTGCCCGCGGGACAGAGCTTTTACGACCGAAACATGCTGGAAGGATATGGGTGAGCACAGACTTTCCCAATGGACAGAGCTTGGGGAAGACACACCGTTTCCGCCCCCGCCTCTCCAATGTGCCCATCGACAACGACGGGCTTCCCGCCCAATGCCCCAATAGCCCAGCCCGAAAGAAGGAAGCGGAGCGAGGTTCTGGGTAGAGCGATACAAGTCGCGCTCGTCTAGTCGGCGCTGGCGCCGGAGGCTCGGCGAGGCACGTGACCTGGCCGATTTCTCCCGAAATGTAAGCCAGACAAAAGGTGACGGGAAAGGAAAAGGGAGGGATGTGGGTTGCCAACAAGGACGGGGGGCGAGGGAGAGGGAGAGAGCCGGAGGCAGAAATTGACACGTTAGTTAGGCTGCGGTTGAAGGGGAGATGTGGGGCACGGCTAGGTAGTCGTCGACCTGGAGCTTGACGAAGATGTGAGGAAGATGGGGAGAAGATGAAGCGAGAGCTTCGCTCGCTCACGCGCACAAGTAGAATGCTGCATTCGAAGACCAGCATGGGATTGGGGTCGGAGAGGAGAGGAGAAGTCGTTTGCAGCATCCTCCGTGATTCCTTATGGAAAGGCCGGGCGTGGTGGCGGGTGCGGAAGGATGCGGACGTTGGAGAGGCAAGAGCAGAGGGAATAAAGAAGACGGCGCTGTTGTAGTTGACAAGTAAAGCCTGTTTTGGAAGGTAAGATGTGTCTACGCGGGAAGTTGTGAGCTGTAACACACCGCTCTCTCTGCCTGTAACCCTTGACACGTTTTCCCTCTGATCCCGCGACTCTTGTCCTTTGCGGTAAGCCATCTTCAGGAGTAGGCTGCGAAAACGCGTCAGCAACGCCTGAGCGGAAAGGCTAAGACAGCAAGCAGGCCAGACTACCCGTCGGCGAGTAAAATGGCGCACATGGTCCGAGTCCGCGTAGGGCAGGAGATGACGATGGAGAGTCGGGGAGAGGAGGCAATGCAAGTACCTCTTGGCCGCTAAGTAACCTCAGACTCCAGAGTCGCGTCACCTTTATATATATATATATAACGCAGCAAAGCTTTCCCTCGAATGCCCAGCGGCGCCGGTATAGCCACAGCGCGACAGAACGGTATGTCGCATGGTCGTACTCGTAGTCGTGGTCGAGAAGAGAGAAGCGGCGATCGGTCCGAGGACATGTGACCACGCCGATCTTGACTCCGCGCCACGATGACCCGCAAGACCGGTCCTCCCCGCTCGCTCGACCGCCTTGTAACCAAGACAAGGAGACCTGCGACGGCTCTCTGACGCCCCTTGTAGCTGGCTGGGATGCGCGAATGGTGCCACGTGCGTCTTTTCATTCGGTCTGCTCAAACGCGACGTTTTTTATAGGACAAGCTTAGAAGTCAGTGGCAGGCGGAATCATGCTTGGCGTACAGTGCCCACGGGCACTTCTCGAATGCCGGATATAGGTGATGTGACACCTCCGAAGGCAGCCGAAACGACATTTTCCCAGGACTTGTCAAAGGTCCGAAAAGTGCATAAATCGATAGATCTCGGCAAGAGCTACCGACTGATAAAATTTCTAAGGAATCGGACAAGATTTCAATTTTCAGAGTGTCAGAAAAGTGAAACATCGTGCGAAAATGGGCCTTCTAGGGCCCAGATTGATGCCGTGATGCCCGATGACCCGCGGAAACGTGTTTTTGGCTCAAGATCTACCTCTTGACTGGTCAAAAAATGGAAAAAAACTCCATTTTGCCGTTGGCAGGCCATGTCACATAGTGTACTCTCTTAGGCTTGCCGACTGTCGGATGGCCATCAGCAGCATGATTGTCACCAGAGATGGGTGTTTTAGGCTTGTTTGGGTCTAATCTTGGTCGCCGGAGGGAGAAATACCATCAAAATTCCTGCAAGAAGGGCCGAAAAAGTGAAACACCGTGGGAAAATCCGACTTAAAGGCATAAATCGATGTTTTTCGAGGAGCCGGATCCAAAAAAAAATGTCATAAAATGTCATAAAATTTCCCCGGCCTTGCCGGCCGGTGTAAGAGAAGTGCCTTGGTGCACTGTAGGGCTATACGGGCGAGCAACGGAGTGCCTACTGAAATGAATCTACCTACCATCCCAAGCTCGATGCGAGACTTATAAGGGAGTATATGTAATTGCTAGTTCGATGAATGATATTCGGCAAGGACACTAGATGATTCTGTATAGGATACAACGTCAAGGTAAAGCAGCAATGGTCTGAAGATACTAGAGTTGAGTGAATACGATGGTGTTCAACAACGATGGCTCATCAGAATTGATACAGACCAGACGGTTCTTCCACGGGACAGACACGGTGGAACACGTTGTACTCGGCCGTGTGTGTTCCCGCTGGCAGAGCAACGTCTTTGCGGCTCGCCATGTGTATATAGTCGGGACAGAAACACCACACCCAGGACAGCTTGTGTTTTACTTGAATGGCTGCACGGGCTGCTTCGGTGGATTTTTTGGGTACACAGAGATGGAATTGAAGGTGCAACATGTTCTTGGTAGCGACCCATTCAACTTGGTAGGATTTGGGGAAACCCACAGCCTGAGCGGCGTACGGAGTGCGCGCTGGCGATATATGAATGCGTTTCAGATGGGACAAGCAGCTGAAGTCAAATGTTTCTTGAAGCCAAAAGACTTGGTTCATGTCCGCAAACACCAAGTCCCGCACATTGATGCACTGATGGAGGAGAGAAACGGTGTGTGGTGAACTGACTGTGGTTGACGGGCCTTCGGAGTAGATCAAGAGTAGACGTAGATCGAGGCGAGTTATCTGGTTCAAAACAGGCATAAGTAGGGTGCTGGACGGGTGGTTTGGTCAATACACCACCCAAAGACAAGGTGGTGAGTGTTGACCCAAAGGCGAGAAGCATCAAGGGGCCATCGAAGAAAGGTGATGCTGACCTGTATCCGTCCAGATCACTCGCTACGTGAAGACTGGTCAGACTCCGAAGGGGTACAACATGGGGAGCGCCATCAAGACGTGCGGCGTAGTTGATTGGAGGGTTGTTGGTCATGGGAAATGCCAAGAATAGACCCAGTGTATGGAGACCGAGAGGCAAGTGGCGGATGACATTGACCAGGTCGGACGTGGTGCAATTCGGTTGGAAGAATACAAAGAGGTGAAGTAATTGGGGGAGATTTTGGAGCACTCCGGGCAGAATGTCTTCGGGGTCGCGGAAGTGCACGACACGTAAAGTTTTCAAATTTGTGTATTGGGAAGCTAGAGTGCGAGAGAACGCGCGTCGGAGGGCAGGGACAGTGATAGTTACGAGTTGGCGAATGTATGATCGATGAGGGCGGCTGTCGATGAGCACCTGCAGAGCGGAACATTCGGGATCAGCCCACTGGTCCACTACAATGTTTCTGGCAATAACGATGCGGACGACATCGGCTAATTTGGCGCAGACGAGCGCCAGCTGAGGCAGGTCGGAGTGGTTAGTGAGAAAAGCGATAGAACTGAGGAGCTCAGGCGCCAAATCCAGTAGCTTCACCATATGGGAAGACAGACGCAACTGGAAGGAGAGTGCGCTGTTGTTTATATATGCGAGGGCGGCTGCGGAAGGCAAAAAGCTTATTACCAACGGTGCTTGGACCCGCAGTAATTAGACTATTCGAATAGAAAATTCCGATATTTCTCCTATCACCACCGATACTTATTCTTCCAAATGTCCCACATGTACTTCCGCGTCCTGCTGCTCGTCCACGACTTGGTCTAAGGTGTGTTCATGGTTAGTTCTACTCCCATAGCACTCATTGCATTTATCTTTTCAGCTCCGGTGTTCGCATACCACCTCCCACACCTCCACTGGCAATTGTGCCAAGTTCAACTGTAACAACACCAAACCCCGATACATCGACCCCATCCATGCCACCAAATTCCGAGTCGGTATCGGTGCCGCTGCCTCTCAAAACACCACCTGCGCTGCCTACAAAAGGAGCGGCAGTCGCTCCTCGTCCAAATTGCTTTACAGACCGGTGTGTGTATATTTCTCGCGCATTGCTCTCACTAACTCTCGCAGAAATCTCTGTTTGATTGTCTATGCACGCGACATCCAAGGTGGCCAGCGGCAGTACAAGGAGTACTGGGATACATTGCAAGTGACTAATCCTCAGCTCCGCGCAGCGTACAAGGCATACGAGAGCGCCTTGGTATGCTTTCTGTCGCTCTCTTACCTCAGTTGCTGACATCTGTATAGAACCCGAAGCCATCTGCCTTACCAAGCGCGGAAATGGTGCATACTGACCTATTTTATTCAATTCGACAGTCACATGTCACACCCCCTCTATTCTGACGAAATTTTTTCGTCAGTCACACCAAGATGCTAAATTTTTGGCCGGAACACGTCCAAATATGGTAATTTTGGCCGATTTCCGGCGCCTTCGGCGCCGAAATTTCCCAATGGGGACACTTTGACGAATTCCCAAGTTCGACACCGATGTCACGCGTCGGACCATCTGTCGAATTGAATAAAATAGGTCAGTACATGGGTCACGGAAATTGGAATGGATTAACAAGGCGGCAGCAAGCGCAGACCAAGCGAGCAATGGTACAATGGCTGGAGTGGAGTAACGGGAAGTTTGCTAGTTGCTGAGGTGCTCAGACTGGACTTTTTCTTAGTTTTTTTGCGATTTTTTGTATTGTATCGATCATTATAATCACATCTCAATTCGTCCCAAGTGCTCCCAGCCTGCTTGATTGCAGCATCTCAATTCATCTCATTTCCACTCGCTGTCAAATTCAAGCCACTGCGACGCCGGGTGGTATCAAGTGGGATGCATTGAAACAGCGCACATTTGATCTCATTACATCTCTCTGTGGTACGCAATTTCAGGACATTTTTGCTATGGAATGAATTCTATAGTGACATTTTGAGACAGTCTCAGTTGGTCCCTGTTTCTCCCATATCATCTCGTTGACTTCTCACTGGGCTTCACGTTCGGACTATCGTTCGGACATATTTGACCGTACCTAATACTGATCAAACTTGTCCTCTTCTTCCCTTTACCGTCACCACCACCATTGCCATCCGCCTCCCTCCCTCTGCCGCTTGCAGTGCGCCAAACTCACAGCTGGCGGCATGCCCGTCGTATTACAATTCGGAATCAAAGGTCGTGGGGCGACAGCTGGACGGGGGGATAGACGAAGAAACGTGCGCTTTCGCTCATTTTGGCTCGTATTCGCGGCTGACTTCTAGCGTAGCATCCAGTACCCGCAGCTCTTCCCTCGGGCTACCCTGTCATGAAAAGGACTTGCATGCCCAACGACGGGGAAATTTCGCCATAGGATGGGCAAACCGCTACCACGAGAGGACGAAGGAGGTTTGCAGCGACCATCGTGGGACGGGACTGTAAAGGGGGAAGCTTGACGAGGAGTGGCTTTGGAGCCTGCGGTCAACGAGGAGGTCTTGATTCAGGTGCATGAAGAGCCCTTCTTCTTTTTGACTTTGCTCACGCTCCACCACAGAGCCCAGCTCGCAGAAACTCTTTGCTCTTGCCAATTTCCTTCCCCGCCACCACCACACGACCCCGAATATATCTGCAAGCCCAACTACTGACTTTACCCATGCAGGCGGGTCTACCCACCCTCGACAGTTGGCAACGGGTACGAGTGTAGCTTGTCGCTGGAGGGATAGAGCGTTTATGGAGGTACGTCTGCTATCTCTATCTTTTCCCCGACTCGTTTTCCGACCTCAGTCACATATTTAGTACCCCTGGCTTTTCAAGTAGAGTCGCGCCCCCCATCCGAAGTAGAGATCGCTGCAACTTGGGAGGAGGAGTGCTGGTGAGCCAAAGATCCGCTCTCGTGTACCAAACAACTCATATTCCTCTCTCTCTCAAAGCCCACATAGGTTCTTTACTCACTCCAAAATCTCCATGTCAACCTTCCCCTTCAGCTTCCTCCTTCC